GAGGAGTACCTACAGGAGAGCCTGCAGGCTGGGATCATTCGCCCTTCCTCATCGCCAGCTGGGGCGGGATTCTTCTTTGTGGGCAAGCGGGATGGGGGCTTACGGCCCTGCATTGACTACAGAGGGCTGAATGGTATTACAGTCCGGAACACTTACCCTTTGCCTCTGTTACAGTCTGCTTTTGATCTTCTCAGGGGGGCTCAGATCTTCACAAAGCTGGACCTGCGGAGCGCTTACCATTTGGTTCGTATCCGTGAGGGAGATGAGTGGAAGACTGCTTTCAATACTCCCAATGGCCATTTTGAGTATTTGGTCATGCCGTTTGGTCTCACCAATGCGCCCGCAGTTTTCCAATGCCTCATAAATGACGTTCTCAAGGACATGATCAACAAATTTGTGTTTGTTTATTTGGATGATATCTTGATATTTTCCCCAGACCGAGACACTCATGTGCAGCACGTCAGAGCCGTATTGCAGCGTCTTCTCGAGAACCAGCTGTTCTGCAAGGCGGAGAAATGTGAGTTCCACACAACACAAACCAAGTTCCTTGGGCATGTGGTTTCTCCTGGTTCAGTGCAGATGGACGAGGCTAAGGTACAAGCTGTTCTCGATTGGCCTGTCCCCGCGGATCGTAAGCAACTCCAGCGCTTCTTGGGGTTTGCTAACTTCTACAGACGTTTCATCAAAGGGTTCAGTGGCGTGGCTGCACCTCTCCATAAACTCACCTCAGCTCAGGTACGTTTTGTCTGGGACGTTGGAGCCAATAGGGCTTTTACTGAGCTTAAAAGACGTTTCTCTACGGCTCCTATCCTGACACAGCCTGACCCCTCCAAACAGTTTATTGTGGAGGTCGATGCGTCTGAGTCTGGGGTGGGGGCCGTGTTGTCACAGAGAGCGTCTGATAACAAAGTTCATCCCTGCGCGTATTTCTCCTGCAAGCTCAATCCTGCAGAGAGAAACTACGACATAGGGAACAGAGAATTGCTAGCTGTTAAGCTAGCCCTTGATGAATGGCGCCACTGGCTGGAGGGTGCAAGACAGCCTTTTCTGGTGTGGACAGACCACAAGAACCTAGAGTACATTCGCACGGCTAAGCGACTTAATCCACGCCAAGCCCGGTGGGCTCTGTTTTTTGACCGTTTCAACTTCACCCTCTCTTATCGCCCTGGCAGCAAAAACATCAAACCTGACGCCTTGTCCCGACAATATCAGCAGGACTGCAGGTCGACAGAGGTCCCGGGTACCACCACCATCGTTCCTCCTGTCCTGGTACTTGGGGCTAACCGCTGGGCCTTGGAACATAGGGTCAAGTCTGCAGTGTCAGGCACGGTCCCAATCCCTGATGGATGCCCCCCTAACTGCTTGTTTGTACCTTCGAGTCTACGCCCCACGGTGCTGAAGTGGGGGCACTCGTCACGCCTGGCTTGCCATCCCGGGATGACAAGGACTGCCTTCCTGGTGGCTCAGCGTTTCTGGTGGCCCACCATGTCCTCTGACATACGAGCTTTCGTCTCCTCGTGCCCTGTGTGTGCCAGTGCTAAAGTGCCCAGAACCCCTGCTGCAGGTCTCCTACAGCCTTTACCTATCCCCTCAAGACCATGGTCCCACATAGCCATGGACTTCATCACGGGTCTGCCCCGTTCAAGAGGTAACACTGTCATTCTGACTATCGTGGACAGGTTTTCGAAGTTGGTTCATGCTGTGCCCCTACAGAAACTGCCTTCGGCAAAACAACTGGCCGAGATAGTGGCACGACATGTGTTTCGACTGCACGGGCTTCCTGAGAACATTACCTCTGATCGGGGTCCACAGTTCGTGGCAGCATTCTGGAGGGAATTCTGCAAGCTCCTCGGGATAACGGTCAGTTTAAGTTCTGGTTTCCATCCTCAGACCAACGGGCAAGTGGAGCGGTTTAATCAGGACTTGGAGACCACCCTACGAGCTATGTGCTCTAAGAACCCCCCGACCTGGTCCTCACAGCTCCCTTGGGCAGAATATTCCCATAATTCTCTTGTGAACTCTACCGGTTTCTCCCCTTTTCAGGCTGCCTATGGTTATCAGCCCCCACTTTTCCCCCATCAGGAGAGGTCTGCATCGGCCTCCGGCCCCGCCGCGTTTGTACGACGCTGTCGGCGCACTTGGGTGGATTACCGCTCTCGTCTGGTCCAGAATCAGGAACGGTTCACCGCAGTGGCGAACCGTCGGAGATCAGCCGCACCCGACTACAAGGTGGGAGACAAGGTTTGGCTTGCCTCGACAGATGTGCCATTGAAAGGGGGTTTGAGAAAGCTCCTTCCTCGGTACATCGGCCCCTATTCAGTGTCCAGGGTCATCAACCCGGTGGCGGTCAGGTTGGACCTTCCTCGCTCCCTGCGGATCCACCCTGTTTTCCACGTGAGCAAGCTTAAGCCCTTTGTGACTAGCCCCTTGCATCCGCCCCCTGCGGCTCCACCTGCTCCTCGCCTTGTGGAAGGTGGCCCGGTCTTCAAGGTGAACAAGCTCCTGGCCTCTCGGAGGGTGGGTCGGGGGCATCCAGTACCTGGTGGATTGGGAGGGTTATGGCCCGGCGGACCGCCAGTGGGTCCCCGAACGCCACGTCCTGTGCCGTGACCTGATCACCCGTTTTCACCGGGACAACCCTGATCAGCCTCGTCGTCCGTCTGGAAGCCGGACCTTGTGAGGGGGGTTATGTTATGGGTTACTCCTCCTGATTGTTGTAATGCGTGTTTTTCTTTCTCTGTGTAGGTTGGCTGTGGCTCTTCCTGCTGTTCCTGCCCCTCTTTGGAGCATCGGGGAATGCCACAGCTGACTGCAATTTCCTGATTGCCACACCATGTATTTAAGCAGCTGCTTCCTGTGCATGGTGTGGCGTTGTTGTGAAGAGTTTCTGGTGTTCAGAGCATAGCTTTGTTTCGAGTCTGTGGTAGTTTTGTTTTGTATTACCCGTGAAGTCCTTTTCCCACTTATGTGGTGACTTTTTGTTATTAAAAGTAATCAGTATCGGATCTGGTCATCCTGTCTCCTGCATTTGGGTTTATTCCTGTGTACCCTCGCGTGACAGTGACCAGTTTAATTTGACATGAACACGACAAACACGCTTTCTTGACAATCTTTGTGAGTAAAAAAAAAACATGTAGAAACAAAAACGAACAACGTGAGTTATTAGGGAAATAGCGGGCGAGCGGTGTTGATGCAGGATTGCGCATGCGCCGTGAGCGGTTCTGGTACTTTTTGGGTCGCAGCTGCTTGCAGCGCCGCTTCAACAGGGCGATACCCTCACGAGGAACGAGCAAAATTTCAAACACGCCAGAAGTTTGTGCGAGCTCACGATTGCTGATCGGTAGCTGGTCACATGGTGTTAATCGCCTCTCATAACCCCCTGTATACTACACCACGCTCGGCGCAAAACTCGCCCCGATCTCGTGGATTCTCGCACGAGTGGAAAATCGGCTCAAAAAAGTGAAAAAGTCGCACAGTGCACGCCCGGCTTTACACACTCATTCTTGCATTACCAACAGAGCTGAGAGTTAGCTGCATTCCCATAGCATGGCAAGCTGTCCTATATCCGTGAATATATAGTCTGGCCACCACCCATGAACAAAGTTCAGTTGTGGGGTGGGATATATGGTTGTCTTTCAAACGGTCTCTACATGCTATTGGAAAACAAACAACGTGCCGAACTCACCACTACTGATAACACTGTTAACCAACGAAGTAGTCCACCATGCCAAATACAGCCTTTTTCTAAATAAAAGGCTTAAGTACCTCTATCTGCTCTTGAGTCAAAAGTCTAAATTATTCAAAGTTGATCATCTTTGCTTTGTTGCTCAGTGCCAGTAATATCATGCCCACCAAATCGATAGAGGGCAGCTGGGACTCTAATGGTGCGTGGCTAGACTGACATGCAGAGGAAAGACCTTTTGGTTGTGCTACTGTCTGTCTAGATTTCTAGTCTAGCATTCTAAGACAATAACTCTGTCACCTAAACATTTCCCAACAAGAACAGCATCTGACTCTAAACAGAACATGTAAAGCTACTCCTTAAAATGACATTTGCAAACCAAACAGGACATTCAATCCATGACACAAGGTAGCTTAGCTCTGGTTTCACTTTCTGTTTGGCTGCTCGGCCCAGAACAAGGTTTTAGAGCTCAGATGGTGTTATGTGCAGCAGGGTGAGACGTTCAGAGGAGTAATTTGATGGACGGGTCATACTCCAATCGTTTACAAGGGGGACCAGCGCTGGATTGGATGAATTTCTGCAATCTTGTACGTTTCAGAGGTGATCAAAATGTTTCTTTTCTTTTTTCTTCTGACAAAACATTGAATTTTTGGGTTGCCACTGGTATGTGAATAGCATTTCAAGCAATTTGGCAAAAAGTTCCAGAAAAAAATCTCACACTTAACTCTATTTTTATCACCAATTGCAACTTTACTGACATTTTTCTTTACTGACATTTTTCTTTAAAATACTATCTATTATAGCTATTACTGTACTAGTACAGTAAAGGTAATATTTCAGAATGTGGTCATTCATAAATAGTAGCTACTATTTATGTATGACCACATTATACTGTGCCAGTTAAACTCCTGGTATTAATTGTGTTTTAGCAGAAGTAACACAACTTAAATACAGAACATACATCATGTGCATACACATAACTCATGTCATACCAAACCTAGCTAGATATCATCAGACTGGTTTAGGTAATTCAGAGCTGGGCCCCACTCTGCTCTACGGTAAGCTACGCCCCTGGGTTTTAACCTTTCAAAACACAAGTTCCCTGTAATCAAACCAAGTCCAAAGCGGGTCAGGGACGTAAAGTGTGCGACGGGTTTAATCCTGAAGCATTTAAATAATACAACACCGAACAATTCGTCCGTTAACTAATGTAACCGGAACATTTCGGTACAGCCCTTGTAAATATCTTGGTTGATGCCTGTGGGTGTTTTTATTCATCTCTCAGGTTTGGTCGACAGTAAAAAGGTAACTTCTGTACCTGACGGCGTTCCTGTTCTTTATTTCCCAGCTGGCTGTGGTTGGTAACTGCTTCAGGTAATCTGCTACTCTCCTCAAGCTGCGACCACCCCTCGCCATCTTCTCTTTTGACGGTTTCTTCTTTCGTTGGTTGCTACAAATTCACTGGAAGACAGCTTTGGTATGCTGGCCACGCTTACGTCACTTCTTTTCATGCCTGCAATTGGTCGATTGACTTCCAGTGTGAGTATTCATTGGCTAGTCCGAATGCTCATCAACCGAATACTGACGTCTGAGCACGCGCTTGTGCGCGCGCAGAGCAGTCACGAGATGTTGGCTTCGGTTTCTGTGTCCTCACCGTGGTCCTCACGCGCAGGTTCACAGGCTGTTTTTAAAACTACGCATACCCATACGCTACGCTGGTGCGTTTCCCACCTTCTACTGCAGTTAATGATGTCTGCATTGGTACAAAAACAGCTGTTAGCTGACGTTTTAGTGCGCATCTTGGAACTGCGGTTCAAAGGGGCTCATTTCAATTCAATTAAATTCAATTCGAATTCAAAAACACTTTATTAATCCCAGAGGGAAATTCAGTAAAAAAATTCAGTAAAAAAGCAGTAATTTAATTTCCCACGTATTTTATTACTTCAATGGAAACTGATTAACTTAAAGTTATTCATGTAACCTTATGCTACCGTAGGCGTATTTTAATTTTCTTTCTTTGTTTTTCTTTTTCAAAGCAAAATGTTTTTTAAAATTCTACCTGTGAAAACAAGAAATCATTGAAAAAAGTTACATGCCATCATGTTTTTTCTAATCTATAACAACTGGGTGTGAAAGGTGCACATAAGTGATTTTTATTATTATTATCAATATTTTTTTATTGCTGTTGTTGTTATTCGGTGTATGTATGATGTCTGCATATACGTAAAATAAATGTAGAGAAGTATTGGTAACACTTCCTTTTACAGTCTCCTAATTACTAAGTACTTACATAGTGATTACATAGTAAGTTAAAGTGTATTATTTTTTCTGAGTTCTTAAACAGTTATCACCATGTGGCTCAGGTTCAATTCTAGTCTGCGTTTGGACAGGAAATATCAGAGTGCTCAGATAACAGTATCTTTGTGGGCATAATACACCAAGTTAATGTTTGTTGAATTATCTTATGGATATTGGTGTATTTCTGTTTTTAGATCTTTTTAAAAAGACATAATGTTTGCTAGTGCAGCCCGGGTGGTCGCGGAGGAAAAAAAACGGGCATGGGAGGAGTTTGGGGAGACCATGGAGCAAGAATTCCACGTGGCTTTGAGGAGATTCTGGTCCACCATCCAGCACCTCAGGAGGGGAAAGCAGTGCACTACCAACACTATTTATAGTGGGGATGGTGTGCTGCTGACCTCTACTTGGGAAGTTGTGGATCGGTGGGTGCAATACTTCGAAGACCTTGTCAATGTCAATGCCGTCTTCCAGTGAGGAAGCAGAGCTTGGGGACTTTTGGCTGGACTCTGCTATCTCTGGGGCTGAGGTCACTGAGGTGGTCAAAAAGCTCCTCAGTGGTAAGGCTCCGGGGTGGATGAAATCCGCCCAGGTCCTTAAGGCTCTGGATGTCATAGGGCTGGGATGACTGACGCCGCTCTGCAATATTGCGTGATCAGAGGCAGATCCACTGGACTGGCAGACTGGGGGGGGGGGGTCCCCCTATTTAAAAAAAGGGGGACCACAGAGTGTGTTGCAAGTACAGGTAAGGTCTATTTAGGGGTCCTGGAGAGGTGTCACGGTCTGCCTCAATCAGCAGGAGAGGAGACCTGGCAGTCAGCTGTTTGTGTTGCAGGTGGGCGTGGCAACGAGCTCCAGCTGATCCTGATCCTGCTAATCAGAGGGCCAGGGGATTTAAGGAGCGGTGTGACACAACTCCAGTGCTGGTTGATACTCTCACCAAGGGTAGCTTCTAGCCCAGTATATCTCCTGAAATTCCTGCGAACTTGTCCTATGAAATCCTGTGTGTTCTTGTTCCAGTATCTGGCCTCGCATCCTCTAACCACGCCTTGAGTTGTATTCCTCGTCCCGCCGTTCAGGATCCTCTGGCCTCCACTCTCCATCGCTCGCCTGCCTGCCAACCTACACCCTGGACTCATACAACCATCTCCTGACCACCTCCTCTTCAGTCATCGGTCCTCTTGCCTCTCCTCAACTGATCTTCACCCAGTCCACCACCGCCAAGCCCTGGTCTATGACCGTAAGAACAATTCTACCCAGAAATGGATTATTCTCTTGGTCATCTGGTTCTGGCACAAGTTTCACAATTGTTCATTCTTTCGTTTTAGAATCCAGTCCCGTCCTGTTCCTGTTTTTCTGGAGCAGCGCCTTTAGTTTTCCTTCTCGGTTAATAAATAATTTTACTATTTTACTTACCTGTTTTGTCGTGTGGTTCTTCATGTCCTGGGTTAAACGGCTTGCCCACAACATGACAAGAGGAGGGTCCATCAGATTGTCAAAACTCGGATTCAGGAGGAACAATGTGGTTTCGTCCATGCAGTGGAACACTGGACCAGCTCTGTACCCTTAGGAGGGTCCTGGAGGGTGCGTGGGAGTTCACCCAACCAATCTACACGTGTTTTGTGGATTTGGAGAAGGCGTTTGACCGCATCCCTTAGTGGGCCCTGTGTTGGGTACTGTGGGAATAGAGGGAGCCTAAGTCTCCGTTTTCTGTCGGCTCATGGGTCCCCGGAAGAACAAAAAATGAGTGCAAATCAACGGGGCTAATCCGCTTTGCTTTATGCGCTGAATCGCATATGTTGTACTGCAATTTCAATGAAAACTAATGATGGGTGTTTCGACCACGCCAGTCATGTACTTTGAGATTAATCAGCTTGTAAACATTGGTAGTTGGCATGAATACAAATCAGATGTCAGCACGTCTCATATATGATGTCATCACATAATTTCCTCTCCCCTAGCATAGCTGCTACTTAACACATGGCCAGATAAATGGTGGTTCTTTCCTCCTGAAGGAAGGATTTTGAAGTTTGCTTATTTTACAGCCATTTTCCCTCAGTTTTCTCCGTGTCTGGTTTGATGGCATCACTTTCATGATGCGCATTTGTAGTCCTGGACTTATTTTCACACAAAACCTAAAATGTTTCCACCTGTTCGAAAATAAGTGCTTTCTTGGTATCAAAATGCGTTTTTAAAATTCACGGACATCATATGTGAAATTCGTGTCACATAACAAGCGGAATTAGAAAATAGCGTTTTTAGCTCCATTGACTTGCATTCATTTTTTTGTTCTTCTGAGGACCCATGGACTGGAAGTATGGGCATGACTTAGGCTCCCTATTGGGTACCAGGCCCTCTGATAGGTCCCTGTAGGGCCGGTGTCAGAGCTTGATCCGCATTGCCAACGGTAAGTCGAGCTTGTTTCCAGTGAGAGTTGGACTCCACCAAGGCTCAATTTTATCACCGATTCTGTTCATAACTTTTAGATTTCTAGGCACAGCCAAGGTGTGGAGGGGATCTGCTTTGGTGGCCCAAGGATTGAGTCTCTGCTTTTTGCAGAGAATGTCATCCTGTTGGCTTCATCAGAACACAATCTCTGGCTGGAGCGATTCACGGCCAAGTGTGAAGCAGCTGGGATGAGAATCAGCTCCTCTAAATCCGAGACCATGGACTTGAGTCGGAAAAAGGTAGAATGCCTTCTACGGGTCAGGGATGAGATCCTGCCCCAGGTGGAGGAGTTTAAGTATCTCTGGGTCTTGTTCACGAGTGAGGGAAAACTGGAGCGCGATATCGACTGGCGGATTGTTGCTGAATCTGCAGTAATGCGGGTGTTGTACTGATCTGTCGAGGTGAAAAGAGAGCTGAGCCAGTAGGCAAAGCTCCCGATTTACAGGTCGATCTACATTCCTACCCTCACCTATGGTCACAAGCTTTGGGTAGTGACCGAAAGAGTTTCTGGGCTCTCTCTTAGAGATAGGGTGAAAAGCTTGGTCATCCGGGAGGGGCTCAGAGTAGACCCGCTGCTCCTCCACGTTGAGAGGAGCCAGTTGAGGTGGCTCGGGCATCTGGTTAGGATGCCTCCTGGACGCCTCCCTGGTGAGGTTTTCTGGGCACGTCCAACCAGGAGGAGACTTAAAGGAAGACCCAGGACACGCTGGAGGGACTATGTCTCACCTGGCCAGGGAATGCCTTGGGATTCCCCCGGAAGAGCTGGTCCAAGTGGGTGGGAAGAGGGAAGTCTGGGCTTCTCGTCTTAGGTTGTTGCCCCCGCGACTCGACTCTAGATAAGCGGAAGAGAATGGTTGGATGTTTGCTAGTCCTTTGTCCTTACCACATTACACTTAACACACATAAACTAATAAATATTAAACATTTGAGAGAATAGTTTTCCAACTTTGATAGACCAAATTACGTTCATAACAACAGATTTAGAAGTATCAGGATTTTCATTCCTTTTATGCTGCATTCTGTTTTCTCTTTGCAACCCTCCACTTATTACTCATCCCTGCTGAAATTATTTTATAGACGTTACATTTTACACGTAAGGAAACTGTTTCAGATCCAGATGGAAGATTTACAATTACATTAAGAAATATAAAATTAAGTATTGCTAATGTTTGGTCCAAACACTGAGGACAGGTTTTTACAACACTTTCAGCTCACTCTCACACATGGTAGGAGGGGATTTCAACCAGGTCCCTAATCCTGACTTAGACAAATCTAACAGATGCTCAAACTTTCATATTTGTCAGTCAGCTGATAATGTATAAAGGATTTTGGGTTTTGTGAAGCTTGGCGTTGTAATCACCCGGCACTTCAGGAACACCTTCTCAGCAGATCACACAACATGCTGCAGCTTCTTCTTGTTCCTGATGGTAGCTCCAGTGTACCACACAGTGATTGAAGTGAGGATGGACTCAATGACTACGGTGTGGAACTGCCTCATCAACTGTGCTGGCAGGTTGAATTTGTTCGGCTGCCTCGGTAAGTTCATCCTGCTGGGCCTTTTTATGATAGAGGTGATGGTGGGCTCCCACTTGAGGTCTTGGGTGATGGTGGTGCCCAGGAAGTGACATGAGTTCCCCATCGTGATCGGAATGTAATTTATTTTTTCTAATTTTCATCATATTTTTAATGACTTTTTGAAGATTTTTTGTATTTTGAATGTTTTGTTCTTTTGAAGTGCCTCATAATGTTTATCTTGAGAGGCTCTATACAAAAGATAACTTTCTTTCTTTCTTTTTCTTTCTTTCTTTCTTTCTTTCTTTCTTTCTTTCTTTCTTTCTTTCTTGCTTTCCTGCTTTCTTTCTTTCTTTCTTGCTTTCCTGCTTTCTTGCTTTCTTAACGTCTATTCTATTCTTTTCTATTCTAGAATGTTCTATTTTATTCTGTTCTATTCTATTGTTCTATTTTATTATTATTATTGTTTCGGGTTTTTTGTAGCTGTTGGTAAGGGGGATTCTTTTGGGATTTGTTGGTGGTTAGTTTCCCGGTCCAGGCCCAGTAAGTGTCGGTAATGCACCTTAAAGTTGCTTACCAACCACCGTAAAACTCAGAAGAAGAAGAGGAAGAAGAAGAACAGTGAATAAACACACTTCCGGTGTTAGTCTTCAACAACCACCATCAAAATGGCGAAGATCGCCAAAACCCACGAAGGTAGATTATTGGAGAAATCTCATATCAGTTCTATATTTTATTGTTTTGTTTGTGTTGTTGTGTCGAGACATGTTTTTACTATGTAACTATAATGTGGACAGCGCGTATTCCTGTATGAATGTATGGTTTTAAAGGGGAGAAGTAGCAGGCCTGCTGCGGCGACACAACGCGGGCCGTTTACATAATGGCGCTGCTGCTAGCGCTGCTGCTAGCTTGTTAGCTTAGACTGTCTTCCTTTTGACGATGTATACACTTCAGCAAATGATATTAGACGTACTAATGAGTTTTAGTTAATCGCAATTAAGTGTTGTACTGTGCTCTATTGTCTTAATCATGTGTTTTTGTTCGGATAATAATACGTGATTTTGGCCGTCGTATGACGCAACTAGCACTTTTAACACCATCCCCATGCTACAAAGCCCAACCACCGGTAAGGAATCGCGTAGATTGTGTGGGTAAACATCGCGGCTGTAATAAAGAAAAACCTGTTTGCAGATGAGGTTAAAAGCTGCTTCTGAGATAAGTGTACTATCGGGGGTTGTAACTTTAAATTAACGTTACGAAAAGTGCTACGTTATTTATTCGAATCCCATCTGGAACCTTTAGGCCATTTTTTAAATGTATTTTGTTTGGCCTTTATTATGACCATGTTAATGTTTCGTTATCAAGAATGCCGCCTTCCAACAATATCAAGAATCAAAACGTTTTACTGAACATTGGTACAAGCGTATCAGATGACGCATGCGTAGATATCACCTTTCTAAACTTTTTCTAAACTGAGAAAAGTTTAGCATGGGGCGGATAGAGATTAGCCAATTATTCTACCATTCATTATCTCCTGTTTGATGCCTGATGTGCCTGCCCAGATTTAGGTTCATTAGAATTCCTGGGAGGAATGTATCTTATCCTGTTTGTTCTTGTTCGTTTCAGATATCGAGGCCCAGATCCTCGAGATCCAGGGGATGAAGGCCTCCCTGGTGGACAATGGAGATCAGGGGGTGGGATTGGACTCCACTGGCTTTTATGACCAGGAGATCTACGGAGGCAGTGACAGCCGTTTTGCTGGTTATGTCACCTCTATCGCCGCCAATGAGCAAGAGGATGTAAGTTTTTATTAGACTTGAGTCAAGCTTTTTTGTGGAGTTTGAGTACTCCTATGTGTTTGTGTTTTGTGTATGAGCTAGGAGAGTCTTGCTGGATTAGCAGGACTTGACTAGACTCGTGTTTCTCCTTTCTTCCACAGGACGATGATGAGGATACATCAACAAGCTTGTTGGGACAAAAGAAACAAGGTTACCACGCTCCAGTAGCGATACTCAACGCCATTCCTCAGTCAGATGAGCAAGTATGTGTTCATTTAAATTGTCACAGATATAAACTTTTTAACATTGTCTAGAAAATGTTTTTACATACAGACATTAACCTAAAATCTGCTTGGTTTTTGGATTTATAGTACGACCCGTTTGCTGAGCATCGTCCACAGAAGATTGCAGAGCGGGAGGATGATTACAAAGGCCGACGCAGACAGAGGATCATCTCACCTGAGCGTCTTGACCCTTTTGCAGATGGTAAAAATTGTCTTATTTTTTGTCCTAGTTCCACTTTCCCCCATTGTTACTGTTGTTAAGATGCCACCCCATGAGTGTTTCTAGCTTTATTTTTGAACCCTTCGACCACAGTGCAATAGATTGCCTCCCAGACTTGATACCTTCCCTGTGGTAAATCCTCTGTGGCCAAAAAAAACATTTTTCCTCATTGTTTTACAATTTTTCTACAAACGTCAGTGTGGGCTCATTGGGAAGTCTGGATTTGTGCTGAAAACCATTGTAGGGTTAACCATCCTGTTGAGTGGGAGAGGTTGTTGGGTGTGTCCTAACATGCGTGGGTTGCAGATGGGTTGTGTGTAGGTCGAAGGGTTGGCAGATCCTTGACGGCAAACATAAAAATATGACTTAGTTATGGTTCAACTGGCCTGCTGATGCACTGTGCTTTTTCATACTAGGCACAGCAGCTGTAGATCCTCAGGCAGACTGAGAAGGATAAATAATCAGAGGCATGAAGATGTGATCAGCATTTTAGAGTCACAGAAACTTGGTGGATTTGGGCTTCATAAAAGCCCTCAGGAACCCTGTTGTAAATGATCACACTTTAGTGTCTGGCGCTGCGTTTGTCACCTGCTAGCTCGTTAGATTTGAAATAATCTGCAGCCTCCGGGCTGAGTAGGCTAGCTGAATAATTTTTACTTTAAACAACATTTAAACATCTGTAGCTTGTTGTAATTTTCTGCTGCTGGAAGTAACCCACCAGTGGCAATGCCCAGAAGGCGTATGCTTTAGTGGTACTTGCCTCTTTACTTCCCTTGATGATAACAGCTGAGATAGGCTGACAGCTCCAGGGTTTATCTGAAACCTGCATGTAGAGAGAGCTCTTTGTACATAGTTGTTGTGTAAATATATTTTTATTTTACAGCTCTCTCTGTAAAATAGAAATATGTTATCAAAGAAAAGTTGTGTGCCAAAATACCACAGGCCCATACTAACTGTCCTTAATTTCTCTCCTACAGCAGTACTGCTTTGCCAGTCCTGTACTGCACTCTGTTAAGGGTGCAGCAACTCATCCTGTGTAGGTTATGGGGAACACAGTGCACTTGTCAGTTTGGTCAGGGCCCACTGGCTGCTTGTTTGGGGGTGGGATGCAGCACAGCTACCGTAATCCTAAACCTAAAGAGCCTCTTTTATTTCCTATCATCAAAAATACAGTCTCATGATTACATGTTTTTACTTTTGTACTTGCAAGGAAGTTGAGATCTAAATAAGAAAAGATCATGATCTGTGCTGTCAGTGCAACAGACGTTTTCTCTGTAGCATCTATTCATGCTTGTTTATGCAGATTTATATTGGAATGTAGTTTACTTTACAAAACCTAACCTGGAAATCTCAACCTTTCAGCTAAAATAAACGTTTGGGGAAAGTGCACTCCAGAACTAGATGAAATTATTCCTATTTTAGTGGTTGTGCCCCAAGAAGATGCATTGTGCTTTTGAGCGTTGGGAATCGTTACTACACAGGTGGTATACTGTTGTGTGTGACTTAAAACCCTTTTCCAAAGTGTTACTAATGGTAAAGAGAAATTTTCTAGGCTTCTTTTCTGCCGGTTGAAGTCTGACTGCAGATGGACCCTTGGCACTGAAAGTGTACGTATTCTGAGGAGCACAGCCCAGGAGCCCTGCATCAGTGATGGCTATACTTCTTAATCCACTTAAAGCACCACAACCTCAGCTCTTTATGTATCTGCTTGCTTTTCATTAGACTGCTATGATTCTATGTAACAAACTGTATATTTATGTATGTAATACAGTAGGAGTTTGTTTTAAAACTTAAACTTAGCAGGAAAAAAGTAAACAGTTAGCCTTTGTGATTGAGCTTTCTGTGTATTGTAGCTTGGATTTCTGTATTCTGATGTGTCTTCTTTGTTCTTGTTGGTGCTCTTTCGCGCAGGGGGCAAAACTCCGGACCCTAAGATCCAGGTCAGGTCATATGTGGACGTCATGATGGAGCAGAACCTGTCTAAAGAGGAGGTAAAATTCTGTTATCTGGTGTCCAGATGGTATTAGTCTGTAATGTTCAACCTAAAGTGACAAACTGAGATTTCTATAGAAAGCCAAGTAGCAAGAACACTCAAAGAGAACCCGTCCTGGTGCACTGGGCAGTGTAGGTGGTCGAATCCAATGAAAAATGCTCATCCCTGGACAAACTGACCTCCCAGACTGATGTCCACCTGGTCGCCTTTGTCCTGAGGGCCCAGTTAGAGCTGAGGCAGGGTGAGAAGGTGTTGTGCCTTGGCTAAACTGTTCTTAGAATCCATGCGGTCCACCCAGCGGCTCTAGTGCCGGAGCACAGGAGGTTCTGCTGTCAGACAGTAGCCTGTCCCAAGAGCCTGTTCATGAAGAAGCCATCCTTCTGAGCTGCTGCTTTTTGCTTGGCTATAAAAGCAGATGATATGATAGCAGCAAAACTAGCGCCTGGTGGGCAGGCATGCTAACCAACAGGCAGCGAGCTGACTCCCAACGTGAGCCGTTAAGCTAGCTCTGATTAGAGGATCAAAAGAGGCAGTGCGAACCAGCAGCAGCTAGGTAGCACAAGGTTTTGGGTTTCTGGGCATGCATCAGCGAGGGACAGACCATACGAGCTGAAGGCGGAGCCTGCCTCCTATGTCACAGATGATGTATCCTAAAGGCGTGAATGAAGGTGTCTTCAGTCGGACCAAGCAAGAGCGTGAGAGCTCAGGATGTGTGTGTACGGAGTGAATAGACTGAAAGGAAGCAATTGTTGGATGTTCAGTGAACAGAAAGCTGCTGTGTTTTTACACACAGTCTACATTAATCCTGACCGTGGCGTGTTTCTGTTTGCAGAGAGAGATTCGTCAGCAGTTGGCAGAGAAGGCCAAATCAGGGGATCTGAAAGCTGTTAATGGCTCTGCTGCTGCTCAAGCTAAACGCAAGCGTCGCTGGGACCAGACAGCTGACCAGACCCCATCCAACGCCACACCCAAAAAGATCTCCAGCTGGGACCAAGCTGACGCCAGTGCCGAGGTGAGCCACTGGGTTTGACTGGTGGGAACCCTTGGGTGATGTTTCAGAACAAGTGTTTTAATTCATAGATTGTTTTTGTTGCGGTCAGACTCCAGGACACACCCCTGCACACACACCATCAAACAGCCGGTGGGATGAAACTCCTGGTCGCCCCAAAGGCAGTGAAACCCCAGGAGCCACTCCCAGTACCCGTATGTGGGACCCTACTCCCAGCCACACCCCCGCTGGTGCTGCCACTCCTGGCAGAGACACACCTGGTCATGCCACACCTGGTCATGGTGGAGCCACAGGAAGTGTTCGCAAGAACCGCTGGGATGAAACCCCAAAGACAGAGAGGGAGACGCCAGGACACGGGAGTGGCTGGGCCGAAACCCCGCGAACAGACAGAGGAGAAGAGTCGGTGGGTGAGACCCCAACCCCAGGAGCCAGTAAGAGGAAGTCTCGGTGGGACGAAACCCCCGCCAGTCAGATGGGATCTTCAACCCCACTACTGACTCCAGGAAAAACGCCACTGGGAACACCAGCAATGAACATGGCTACACCAACACCTGGTAATAACTCGTGTTGTTGAACCTGTTGTCTTGGGGCTCTTGTTGCACAGACTGAGCTGATGTTCTCCTCAGGGCATCTGATGAGCATGACTCCTGAGCAGCTCCAAGCATGGAGATGGGAGAGAGAGATTGATGAGAGGAACCGGCCTCTTACCGACGACGAGCTCGATGCCATGTTTCCAGAGGGATACAAGGTGTGATGCTTTAATGCTTCATTTTCTAGTTTTAACACGTTGAGTAAAAAAAAAGACTCATTTTCCATTTGACCTTTTGTTCGCTCTGTCCGCAGGTCTTGCCTCCTCCAGCAGGCTACGTCCCGATCCGTACTCCGGCCCGTAAGCTGTCAGCCACTCCCACTCCTATTGGGGGTATGACGGGCTTCCACATGCAGGCCGAGGACCGCACCACCAAACAGATGAACGACCAGCCCTCAGGAAACCTGCCCTTCCTCAAACCAGATGACATCCAGTACTTTGACAAACTGCTGGTGAGCCGTGCATCTGTACAGGTTCTAGAGCAGTCACACTAGCACGTCATGTCTGGAGCTAAATGTGCCTGCACCCCGCTGTGGTCCCATTAGGTTGAGGTGGACGAGTCGACGCTGAGCCCTGAGGAGCAGAAGGAAAGAAAGATCATGAAGCTGCTGCTGAAGATAAAAAATGGAACCCCTCCCATGAGGAAGGTTAGTGTTGGTGTTTGTTCTGTTGGAGCTTGTTGTTGCTAATCCGTGAGACGATAAAGGTACCTGTGGTTGAACCTGAATGCATATCTGCTCCTCCCCAGGAGTTATGTCCTTAAGCTCAGCTGCTGACCTGGGAGCAGTTTCAGGCTCATCCCATCATCTCCCTGTTGTAAAGATACCTGCCCTCATGCTTTAGCATGGAGCAGTGCAGACATGATGTGCTCCCATATCTTTTATTTACTCTGGCTACACACAGCTTTTCCTTGTTTCACTTTCGTTACGCCTCAGCTCATTCCCTCGCGCGTGCACAAGCAGCACACTACTTAAACAAATGTCCATTTATTGGTGAACACCAGAGGGAAATGCCTACTGGTTCTTGTTGTCCTGATGCTTTTGCGTCTAACAACAAATCGGACAGTGACCTTTGACCCCCACAGACTTTTTGCTGTGACCTTCTGTATAGTGATGTTCGTTTGTTTAGGTTTATAAACTACAGCTAGTATTTTTTTTTCACAAAGTGCAAATAAAAAGATCAGCAGGTGCCAGTTTGTTCCACGTAGCAGAGAAAAGGTCTGCTTCAGCAGGCAGTTGGTGCAACCGCTAAACCAAAGTACTTCTGTGTGTTTGTGAGGCTTTTATCTGACGCGTCTCTTTTCTTTATCAGGCGGCTCTGCGTCAAATCACAGACAAAGCCCGTGAGTTTGGAGCTGGTCCCCTGTTCAATCAGATCCTGCCGCTGCTCATGTCGCCTACCTTGGAAGACCAGGAGCGCCACCTGCTGGTGAAAGTTATCGACAGGATTCTCTACAAACTGGATGACCTGGTTCGGCCGTATGTGCACAAGGTGGGTTCACTGCGGAGACGTGCATTTGTCTCTATGGATGTTGGCGCTCTAACCTGAGCTTTTCTCTTCAGATTCTCGTGGTGATTGAGCCTCTGCTCATTGATGAGGACTACTATGCTCGAGTTGAAGGCAGAGAGATCATCTCTAATTTAGCGAAGGTATTGTTTAGCTGCCATTTGCTTTTGTTGATGTAACAGAGAAATGACGCGAACCTTTCTCGCCTGGTTGACCAGTTTGTGGTCTGATCAGGGCTAGTTGTTCGCCAGATTGATACCAACATGAGAGCATGCAGACCTGACCTTAATGCCTAGTCTGTTCTCAACCTGCACCCGTTGGTTACAGTTCCTCTGCAAAGAAGCAGCATCTGTTAAATACTTCAGCATGAGTGCACAGTCATAGTTATAAAGTGTTTGTTCTGCTGACTGATGCTGTGTTTGGGCTTTCAGTGGTAATCAGAGTAACCTGTGAACTTGTTTTTCTCATGTTTTTAAGGCTGCTGGTTTGGCTACAATGATTTCCACAATGCGACCTGATATTGACAACATGGATGAGTATGTCAGAAACACGACTGCTCGAGCCTTCGCGGTGGTGGCCTCGGCTCTTGGTATCCCCTCCCTCCTGCCCTTCCTCAAAGCTGTGTGCAAAAGCAAGAAGTCGTGGCAGGCGCGACACACGGGCATCAAGATAGTACAGCAGATCGCCATCCTGATGGGCTGCGCCATTCTGCCTCATCTGCGTAGCTTGGTGGAGATTATCGAACACGGTCAGTCGGACCCTCATCCACAAATCTTTTAAAGCACCAATCACGTTCTGTTACAGGTGATCGCGTTAAAGCCATGACTCGGTGTGTTTTACACTGAGTAAAAAAGAAAAGGTTTAATCCTTTATAAATGACATTATTATTATTAGTGGGGACGTTCCATCACATTGGGTGAAAAGGATCAGATACAACCTTATAAATCAGCAAGCATAACCTTTTAAACTAACCCTGAGATTTAGGTGAAAGACTGTTGTCAAGCGCCTTGTGAGGTTCTGGAACTCTGTAAATACAGTCCTCTTACCAAAACGGTAACCATAACGATCTGCAGTAGTTTCTGTGGAGGTTAGGGCTGGGGGTAAACGATTATTTTTAAAACGATTATCCTGACGATTTTTTATCGAATAGTCAACTATTCTAGTGACTAGAGCAGGGGTCGACAACCTGTTCCCATCAAAGAGCCATTATTACCCGTTTCCCACAGTAAAGAAAACACTGGGAGCCACAGCAGCCGCGGCGTTGTGGGCGGGGCCTACCCTCAGACAGCAGAGCGCTGCCTTAACCAATCACAACAGGTGACAGCAGTCGGTACCGGTCGCTCGTGTACGTCAAAGTTATCTTTCATAAAAAAGATAATCAATAAAATGATTTATATAAAGTGGATCCAGAAGTTGTAGCCCGTCTCTGCCTACAATATTTTGATATTTTTCACCCTGTTGGTTTTACTGAGCAGGTGCCACTTTTGTCATACGTTTCTTTTTACAACATGTTTAGACTGTTCAGAATACAAATCCAGGCTCTGTCACGTTTGATTGTTGTAATTAAACTTTGTAGGTGGGGAAGGTCAGAAAAGGATCCGATCAGTTTGTTTTTCCCTCATTTACAGCAGCGGAGATAACGACGCAGTGCGCCTGGCTCTGGTGTTAATCAAGTTAAATTATATCTCTTTGCAACAATTTTCACAAGAAAACAAAACAGTTAAAAGCAGGGCTTGTGTTGTGTTGACCGGACAGTTCCCGTATTTGACCGTTTATTTTGACGGAGAAAGAATAGAAAGAATTACCCCGACGCATGCAGACAAACTGACATTTTATTCTACACACATCGCAGATGTAGCTAAATCACTCAAGAAAAGATTCCCATCTGAACATCTGAGCTGGACATTGCTCAGCGCAGCTCACTGTCAGCGCATACGTATGGTACACAGCGAGCTGAAGATGTGGAGAGGGGCTTGGAGCGCGTCGCAGAACCAGAGCGCATGCGTGAAGATTCCTCCCACTGAAGCGAGACTTGTCACTTAGAAAATGTTCCCTGATTATGAAACTTTGGCTGAATAGCGCTTGTTCCTGTCTCCAATGTGGCGACACATCCAGGAGCCTGTCTGAGGAGAATCCCAGAATCTCACATCCTCTTCAGCTCGGAAAGTGCCTATGATTACGCACAAGCGTGACGCGTCAACCCGGTCTCACAGTAAGACTGGGTTGGACCTGTTCAGGTTTACGCAGACAACCTTTACATTTAGAATTAGCTTACAGATGTAAAATTAATGCAGTAAAATATAAAGCATTTTATTTAAATATCCATTCATTATTTTACAAGCATAGAGAGCCGCATCAGATGGATGGAAGAGCCACATGTGGCTCCAGAGCCGCGGGTTGCCGACCCCCGATTTAGACAATTAATCTAGTAATTATTTTCTTATTGCATAATTAATAAAAACAAGAAAATCTCTTAATAAATTCCTCCAAGAAATTGATCAATTGTTACTGTAATAGAATAAACGCTACAGACCTTCCATTTTGTATAACACTGCTTTTATTGTGTTGCGGTTGGTTATGTTCTGGTGACGTGTAGAACTTGGGAATGCAGCCTGCTGCCTGAGAGGTGGTTGGAGAAGGAGTGTCTCCATGCTGCTTTGTTTTGGTCACTTATGTGTGTGAGGCGAGTGGTGTTATGACCCTTCCTGGGGAGTTTGGCTCGTGTGCAAAAAGGAAGGGACAATAGCGGGATTTAAAAGTTAAAATGATGATCAGGGTTCTTTACAACTACAAAAAAACATAAATCTTTCCATCCACAGGTTGGGAATAATAAAACTAATTCTGCCCGTGGGGAATTAAAACAAAAGTACAAATAAGTAGGGATGTCCCACTGGGCAAAGATTACAGGGTTCTGGACCAAAATAAGGATCTGCAAAGGTCCAAACTCTAAACTGGGCGGTTAAACCAAACTCACGGTGATATCTTAAACTAAACCAAAAACCCACAACACTCTAAATGTAATAAAAGGGAGATCTACACCACAAAAACGATGAACTCTAAACCAAAACGTAACGGCTTATCCAAACGCAAGAAGCTGTTAGCGAAAATGCTAACAGTAGCTTTACCAACGTTAAGCTCAAGTTACCAAGTTTAAATAAACCAAAAACACCCAGCGGCAAACAGACCAGCATGGAGGAGAGACTGCTACCACCAAAACAGCTCTCCTAATGTCTGAAAGACGCTCCTTTATGAAGGGAGAAACGCTCCCGGTGATTTTCTACATCTGCGGTAGACACGAAGCAGCGCATCTGACCCCGGAAGTTGTTGTCCGTTGCCGTGAAACGAAGGCGGGCAAAACAGGAAAGGAATCTAGTAGCAGACGGACATTGTTCCGGGTCTTCAGTATTTGGTGGAGATGTTAGTGAAGGCGAAGAAGAGGGCGAGCTAGAGGAAAAACAGGCAGATTCCTCCTCTATTTACAAACTCCTGGGGATGCAACAAGTGGGTGTGGTGCGTCGACTACCGGATCTGACGCTTCAGCTCTAGTGGAGGTCAGAGCAAACATCTGAAAGGTGACGCTTGTTTTGGGTCAAACATGTCCATTTCTCTAGAGAAAGTTTAGCTCAGGAACTCGCACCACCACCGAGTGGTGCTGTAGCGGGTCCTCTTTCTGGAGGAAAAACTACATTTCAGCCGTAGAGTCTACAGACGTAGAGGAGGCAGCAGTGAGATTTTATTTTTCTACATGTTTATCATCTTATTACATTTGGGTTTTAGAGTCCTGTTTGATTCTGTTAGACGTGCTCTTTTAGGAACATTACTCTTTTCTCATACCGGGTACTGATCATTGAGTTCTTTTGATTATCAGGTCTGGTGGATGAGCAGCAGAAGGTGAGGACCATCAGTGCTTTGGCCATAGCTGCCCTGGCTGAAGCTGCTACACCCTACGGTATCGAGTCCTTTGACTCGGTGCTGAAGCCTCTGTGGAAGGGTATCCGGCAGCACAGAGGAAAGGTAAGAAGCTCACTCAGGAGAGTATCAAAAGTCCTCTGCAAGATCAACACCCAGCACTGAGTCTGCTCGTGGCTGCAGTGTGAATACTTGCTTGCTAAATCATCTCCCAGTAGGAGCTGCTGCTCCCAGTTTAGGTCCAGTAGAAGACCCCTCACAACTGGGAGCAGCAGACAAAAAAATCCAACGTTAATATTTACAAACAAGAACTTGTGAACAAGTTCAGAGTGTAAACTGCTTGTTTGGTCATCAGGGTCTGGCTGCTTTCCTCAAAGCTATCGGGTACCTGATCCCACTGATGGATGCTGAGTATGCCAACTACTACACAAGGGAGGTGATGCTGATCCTTATCAGAGAGTTCCAGTCTCCAGATGAGGAGATGAAGAAGATCGTACTCAAGGTAATGAGCAGTTCTTTATTATTGCCTGTCGAGCTCGTCGCAGGGCTATTGGTCCAGATGAAAAGTGCTGAATGTATTTGTAAAGCACCTTCTTGAGCCCTACTCACCGTGGACAGTCTAAAACTGAAGGATGTCTAAATGCATTTCTAACGATGCTTTGTTGTCTCCTAGGTGGTGAAGCAGTGCTGTGGCACTGATGGTGTGGAAGCTAACTACATCAAGACCGAGATCCTTCCCCCTTTCTTTAAGCACTTCTGGCAGCACAGGATGGCTCTCGACAGACGCAACTATAGACAGGTCAGTGAGTGGTAGTAAACTAGATGTAGTTCGTCTGAGAGCAGATGCCAAAGTTTCTCTGCAGTTTAGCATCGGTAGCATTGGAACTTGTGAAATCATTAGAGCTTTACTTGACCTTTTTTCAGCTGGTGGACACCACTGTGGAGCTGGCTAACAAAGTTGGAGCAGCGGAGATCATCTCTCGCATTGTTGATGACCTGAAGGATGAGGCAGAGCAGTACAGGAAGATGGTGATGGAGACTATTGAAAAGATCATGGGAAACCTGGGTGCAGCTGACATCGACCACAAACTGGAGGAGCAGCTGATTGATGGGATTCTGTACGCTTTCCAGGAACAGACCACAGAGGTAGGACAAAGCGCCGTCGTGGGAAAGTTTTCTTTCCAAACATGAGTAGTTAAATACCTCCATTTCTGTCTGCAGGACTCTGTGATGCTGAATGGTTTTGGTACGGTTGTGAATGCCCTCGGGAAGCGTGTCAAGCCATACCTGCCTCAGATCTGCGGTACAGTCTTGTGGCGTCTCAACAACAAGTCAGCCAAAGTTCGTCAGCAGGCAGCAGACCTCATCTCTCGCACCGCAGTGGTGATGAAGACTTGTCAGGAGGTGGGCTACACTGGACATCAAAGAGCCACATGTGACGTGGCACACAGACTGACCCTTGTTTCTGTTTCTGCAGGAGAAACTCATGGGTCACTTGGGTGTGGTGCTGTACGAGTACCTGGGAGAGGAGTACCCGGAGGTGCTGGGCAGCATCCTGGGAGCTCTGAAGGCCATCGTTAACGTTATTGGTATGTTGGGAATACTTCTGCCATAGCCAGAAGTTCATATTTGGTTCTAGTTTTTGGTTTCTTTTTTTTTTCTTTCATTCAAACCGGTTCATTAGACACAAATTCACGTTAGAGAAATGTGTGTCACTGTTAGCGATGGGTACCGAATTCTGTACTTTTTAAGGTACCAACCGAATTCCATAGTACCGACTGAGCACCGATTCCCGTCATTTGAAACGGTGCCTCGTTTCGGTACCCATCCTTCATAAGAGATGAGATTCCTAGGTACCGGGAATTAGTACCGAATCGATTCAAATGTCAAAGGTACCCATCCCTAGACTCACTGCCTTCCAGCTCAGTGTTTGGTGTTTGGTTGCTGCTGTTTGGGCCGTGGAACATGATGCATTTGCACTGATGTTTTTGCAGGTATGCACAAGATGACTCCCCCAATCAAAGACTTGCTTCCACGTTTGACCCCCATCCTAAAGAACAGACATGAGAAAGTGCAGGAGAACTGCATCGATCTGGTGGGCAGGATCGCCGACAGGTCAGTGGAGTTTCAGGCTTGAGCAGCTGGTCCACCACTGAGTCTCATTGCTTCTTGATTGTTTTTCAAGGGGAGCTGAATATGTGTCAGCCAGGGAGTGGATGAGGATTTGCTTTGAACTGCTGGAGCTACTCAAAGCTCACAAAAAAGCTATTCGCAGAGCCACCGTCAACACGTTTGGTTACATCGCCAAAGCCATTGGGTGAGAACATGAAATTTTGGAGATGCATTTGAGTCCCACAACATGCAATTTAGTCTTCAGGCAAAAGTGTCTGCTAAATGAACAAACATGGCTGATCTTTGGTCCCGTCTCTTTGCAGGCCTCATGACGTGTTGGCCACTCTGCTCAACAACCTGAAGGTTCAGGAGCGTCAGAACAGAGTGTGCACGACTGTGGCCATTGCCATTGTTGCAGAGACCTGCTCTCCTTTCACTGTGCTGCCAGCGTTGATGAATGAATACAGAGTGCCTGAGCTCAATGTGCAAAACGGTGTTCTCAAGTCTCTCTCATTCCTGTTTGAGTACATTGGTGAAATGGGCAAAGACTACATCTACGCTGTCACACCACTGCTGGAGGATGCTCTCATGGACAGGTAAGACCCCGCGTTCTGGGAAAAACTTAATGATTGTTTGAAGGTTAGGAGCTGGTTGATCCAGCGCTGGAGCCTGATCCTCATCCTGAAGTGCTTAATGCCACGCAGCAGCAGCTCTGTTCTGAGACACTAGACATTACTTTGAACTTAAGTTACTCTGAGAAGTATGAGGAACAAAATCTGTTTTCTAGAATTCTGATCAGTGACGTTTCATGTTACTGAAAAGAAGTAGTTGCTAATAGAAACACTGAAAACGAATGTAAAGTTAATCAGAGAACCGGGACGGCTGAGGGCCTCACTGTGGAGTTGCAATCTCACCAGTTTCTGTTCTTCACCCTGCAGGGACCTGGTCCACAGACAGACCGCCAGTGCTGTGGTTCAGCACATGTCTCTGGGTGTCTACGGTTTTGGTTGTGAGGACTCTCTTAACCATTTACTAAACTACGTGTGGCCCAACGTCTTTGAGACATCACCTCATGTCATCCAGGCTGTCATGGGTGCCCTGGAGGGGCTGAGAGTCGCCATCGGACCCTGCCGCATGTTGCAGTACTGCTTACAGGTAAGGAGGAGGGGCTTCAGTTACAGAACTATGCATAGAATCTTTACTCAAACTTAAGTTGGTTTATTCATGTCTCTTAACAACGATCTAACATAGTTTAACGAGAAATATATTGTAGACATTAAAAATGGTAAAGCGGTTCTGTCTTTTGTCTAAAAACCTCCACCAATAACACGGCTCAGACTGAAAACAACTATTGGACCATCTGGTTGTTGGTCTCACCAATCCGCCACACTTCCCTGGGTCCTCCACTCATCACACACTCTCATATTTAGCAGCAGAACACCACTGGTGTGAGACGCTCTCCGCTCATTAATATCAGAGAAAGAGAAACGGCCAGCTGCTACCACTTCACCTTTAGGACAAACTACCAGAGTCCCAAAAAGGAAAAAAGCACCATTTAAAGTCACGGACAACAAAAGGCATTTGGACCTAGAAAAGGGTGACAGGTATAGGCTTACATGAATCTTTCAATGGTTCAGTTCATTGAAATCCTCAATTCTTTTTTATTTATTTTTTTTATACTAATTCGAAGCTTCGTTAAATGTGCGCACCACAGTCTGAACACATGTTACTAGTGTACAATGTGGTAATCTAGGTGCAGTGGAGGGAAATGGATAATCAGCAAAGGCAGAAACGCTCCCAAAGTTTGGGATCGAGTTGAACTATGAGCAGAATTTCTAATGCTAAGCTAGTGCGTAGCATGATCGTGATCAAGTGGGGTTCAGAAAAACACGTTGGTTTTGGATGACTAAACTCTACAAGCAGAAGAAGATTATAAATATCAGCTGGGGAAAAACGGAACTAGACAACACAAATTTAATACACATTATTGAGCCTTTTATAGCTTAGTTGTTTTATTTTCATATTCTTAGCAGCAGACCACTGTCTCGTTCCACTTGAACTGTCGTCAAACAGAATATTCCATTAATCGATGGAGGGCTCGATAAAATAATGTGGTAACACTTCCTTTTACAGTCCCCTACTTACTAAGTACTTACATGGTAATTACACAGTAAGTTAAAGTGTGTTATTTTGTAATTAAAGCGTATAATTGTACTAAGGTGTAGTTATTGTATAAAGCAGTAGTCACTTGATAGATTAATAAAATAAAAACTAGAATTAAGTCTGAGTTGCATGGTAATAACTGTTTAAGAACTCAGAAACAATAATACACTTTTACTTACTATGTAATTACCATGTATGTACTTAGTAATTAGGGAACTGTAAAAGGAAGCGTTACCAATATTCCAATACTGAAATATTCTGTAACTGCAGCCCTAGACTGGTGTTTAGCACCATCTCGTTTCCTCTGACCACACGGGAATCGCAGGTTTCCAGTTCTGGCAGAAGCATCTCACCAAGGGAGGAACGACTGTTCTGTGACCATGTTTGCGTTTGAAACCTAGCTTGTTATGTAGATTCGCTATAGCAGCTTTAAGCTCGGTAAATGAACTGCTTACATGTGTAAAGTGATTTTTGAACCTGTGACACACCGCCTACACACAGCTGCACACTTTGTACATTCTACTCTTCCTCCAAATCATCTCAGAGAAATCCCAACATTTACATTTTGTTTGATCTGCACAGGGCCTGTTTCACCCTGCCAGGAAGGTGAGGGATGTCTACTGGAAGATTTACAACTCCATCTACATCGGCTCTCAGGATGCCCTGATTGCTCATTACCCACAAGTCTACAACGATGAGAAGAATGTGTACGTCCGCTACGAGCTCGAGTATGTCCTGTAAATACACACAGATCATTTCCCCTTCTTATTGTTTCTCTATCGCCTCCGAGTCCATTTTCATTTAGTGGCAGTGTGTCGCTCACACCCAGCTTCTCCGTGGGAGCATAAATGAGCCTGTAGAGTCTGTATGTATTTTTTACTATTTACTTTGTGTTTGCTGTAAGAAGCAGTTGATGTCGGATGATTTAGAAAAGCAGAGCTATCATCACAATCCCTTTTAAATATTTGCATCCGTTTGTTTGAGTGAATGATCACCTGTAGACCTCTGTATCGCCCACATCTCCTTTTTTCACACCATCCCTGTTCTTATTGGATCAATGCTTTATTTAACCAAATAAAAGGTTTGTGTATAGACCGTTGTTGTGCAAGCTTTTCTTTATTCAAGCATTCTAATGCTTCCTTTCTTCTAGAAGGACTTTCATGTCCCGACCCTCTTTCTGTAGGAAATTTAACGTCATTAAGAGGAAAGCAGAGACAAACCTGCACTCAGCTCAGTGCTGCTCAGCAGATCTTCTGACCCAGATTCTCCAGCAAGCTGCTGGGCTAAAGGATTCTTCATAGTCGCACTTGATTAGCTTTCGTATAAACATGTAGCGCTGCTTTAGATTCAAAGAGCAAGTCACCCCCTACCAGAGTCTTACCCCACTCCCACTTCCTGTTTGAAAAATGCAACAAATGCTGTTGCCTGGCAGACCGAGAGGGCGGAGCTGCTAACAAATACAAACAGACTCACGACATTGTGACATCATAATGTACCAGCTTAAGTCATAGTGAACCTGTTGGCCAATAGCGATGGCGGATTTAAATTCAAATGCAGTGTAGTTTTCACCTAACGACGGCACATCACTGACAGTTTTAGGCAGAAAATTTTTATTTTAACTAAGATGCACTAAAGTGCAAAATTATTGACCACACGTGTCTGCAGCACGATTAGACACTAATTTATACAGTTTATCTGCCAAAAAAGGTTGATTTGGGGGTGACTTGCTCTTTAAGAATGGCCCGTATTGTATACCACCTTCCCGAGGCACACGCTAGCCTCTGGTGGTGTAGGCACAGCTGCTCTGGGGCATTTAGGATCCATCTTAACTCCAGCAATCCACAAACATACTACACTGGTAAACCCTTGCAATTGTTTCCCTCCTTAATAAACTTTGGAATGCACAATGAAGACGGAAGGAACACACCGATGCTGGAGACCAAAGCCCCGTACGGTAGATCCTTATGGGTGTGTGATGGAAGGAGACACAGGAAGGGTTTGGATAATTATCCAGACAAAAGGGTTTTTTACACCTGTGAACAGGGAGCAGGTACACAGCTATGTGGAGAAGTAATGAATGAAAAGAGAATCTCACCGTGGGAAAAAGAACTAGTTTAGCCAGCCCATAAGAGAGAATAGGAAAAAAGGCCATTAATGTAAACTTGAGTCAAGTTTAAAGAGACTACAAAAACCAAAATAATGCGTAAAAGATACAGACAAAACGTACATCTGAGTATTGCACAAGTACAGCAAATACACAGTGATTATTGCACTCGAGTTAGCATGTGTAGGTTTACGATTTACCAGTGTAGATTTAGGCTCTGGTGGTGTTATTTGGCTATGAGTCAGAAAAGGGTAGAATGCCTTCGTCCAGGTCAGGGATAAGGTCCTGCCCCAAGTGGAGGAGTTTAAGTATCTCCGGTACTTGTTCACAAGTGATGGAAAGATGAAGCGTGAGATCGACAGGTGGATTGGTGCTGTGTCTGCGGGTCGTGGTGAAGAGAGCTGAGCCGGAAGGCAAAGGTAAAAGCGGCAGAAATGAGCTCTCCCTTAGAGTTGAGGTGAGAAGCTCGGTCATCCGGGAGGGGCTCGGAGTAGATCTGCTGCTATTCTACATCAGGAGAAGCCAGTCTGGGCATCTGGTCTGGATGCCTTATTGGTGAAGTTTTCTGGGCACGTCCAACCAGGAGGAGACCTAAAGGAAGACCCAGGACACACTGGAAGGACAATGTCTCTCAGCTGCGCCGGGTCTCTCAGACCCAATTCCAGAGGAGCGGAAGAAAATGGATGGATGGTATTCTTTTTCTTTCTGGGGTTGTGGGCTTGTTTTGATTCTGATTTCTTGTTTATTTTCTGTGGCTTTGGTCCAGCTGGGTAAAGAACAAGAGGCAGATGTGAATCTAAACCCAGTGGGATCGCTGACAACTGGAGCCTTAGAGGGGTGGCCACCTCAGTGCCTCAGGGGAAGACCTCTCCCACTTGAATACAACTTCATGTTCTCTTAAATCTCACATCTCATTTACTCAAGACATAAATGTAAGACTTAATGAGTAAATAAAGAAATCACAGTTTAAAAATATGTTGCTGCTGCTCACCATTTTCAGAAAAAGGTACAAACATGTTTTTACGATGGCAACTTTAGTCCTAAATTGTAAAACGTGTTGAAATGATCAAAATAACTGAAATGCTTTATTTTCAGAGAAACTTTAGTTTCTAAAATTTGAAGTAAATGTTTTGAATGCAGCTTTTTTAATGACAAAGGAGTTTACAAAAAGCACAGCTAAAGCCTAAACACCCCCAGAGTTACCTTAAAACGTTCATGTGGGCCCCCAATGAAAGTGTTCTGGGGGCGCCACTGGATGCAGACATCATTCAGACACATCTGGTGCTGTTTGGACCAGCGGTATTTTCCTTGCACCCTGCTAGAGCACTGGTTACCTAACCTTTTTCCTTGAGGACCCCCTTGCCCATGTCCAACATAAGCCAGGAGCCAGGACCCCAACTCCTACACACATGCACATGTTAAGTGTGATCTTTTGCAATCTTTATGCAGTTATAACTTTTATATGAAGTTTTAATTACACTGTGTTATTGAGATTTTATAAATCATAATTTCTTTTTTTACAAATACACTTTTTCTAACCTCTGACCCCCTTAGGGGCCCCCGACCCCATTGGGAAACACTGCTCTAGCGTGCGCACTTTGCAGTGTGTGGTGTGAACACTAGGTGGCACCGACGGAGGCAGATGGATCAATAGTGATGCTTCGCTCTGTCCTCCGCACATCGGAAAGGAGGAGAGAAGCCGCGACTTCCTGTGTGATCTCTGCTCAGCTGACTTCAGCCTGCCTGCCTCTCCGGGAGATCCCTGCTTCTGCGGACCGGGGAAAGGAGAGGCTTCTGGGGGTGGTGTGGAGCTCCAAAAGGCGCCGGGAACCTCCGTGTAGGAGCAGCAGCCATCAGTGCGCATTGTTTACACCGGCGGGTCCAGCTTTTCCTGTTTCTCCGGTTCTTAGCGACTCCGCGCGGCTGCCTCAGCTGAGCAGCGTCGCCCCGGATCGCGTCAGTGAAGCGGGGCTGATGGCCGCTGTGCACGGCCCGGCCTTCATCACCCGCCTGTGTGCATCTTCCAGCGCTAAAGCCTCTCCGCCCAGTCGCGCGTAGAGCTGCGGGGAGAGGAGACGGGAAAGGCGCGCACCGTGCACCGTGCTGCGGTGACGCGCAGAGTGGATGTGCAGACCCGGAGATGGCTGTTCTGAAGCTGGCCGACCAGGTAGGAGCCGCTAGCCGCTGTTAGCTTAGCATCAGCATCCCTGCTCTAAATGTGTTTTTGTCGTAATAACAGCAGAGAGCGCATTCACACGAGCTCCGCTGCCCCAAAGCTGCAAACACGAGTGGGTTTTGTGTCTAAAGCAGGACTCTGATGCTTGCTCCTCAGCTCAGAGGAGGAAGCAGACGTGTCTCACCTCCACTAGAGCTAACGGTTAGGGAGTTCTTCACCGTGTTCAATCTCATTCAGCTTTACGCACATTTAGCAGCGTTTGTTTTAACTGTAGCTCACCTGAATGAGAGCCTTTCCTCTCATGAACCACAGTCTGGTCTCTTCTGAAGCCCTGGACCGGGTCTGTAGGGGGTCTGGGCTGTCCCTGTCCAGTCCCGATCCAGGGACAAGGTCTCAGCCTGGAGGGGAGGGTTTGGGTTGGAGACCTTTGCTTTTTTGCAGATGATGTGGTTCTGTTGGCATCCTCTCGTGGTGACCTGCAGTGGGATAGTACACAGCCAGGTGGGGCCCAGCCGGGACCATGTTAAATGTGAATATTCTTACAGCACAAGTGTTCACCTTTAAAACCAGAGAAATGCAACAAAGATCCTGTTCTGATAAGATGTTGGTCTCAAGGAGAAATACTTTGCCACCAGCCTCGCTAAAACATTTCATTCTGCTCTGCTCTGGAGCTTCTGAACTCTGGGATTTGACGAAGTTGTTGGTTTTTAATACCACAGCTGTTTAATAGGTTTATGGCGTCTAATCTGGACCACCTTAATGTTCTGTTGTCGAGCAGACATCTCTCCTGGCTAGAGAAACTTCAGTCTGTATCAGATGTGTGTGTGTGTGTGTGTGTGTGTGTGTGTGTGTGTGTCCCACAACTATAGGACTTCCTGTTATTTTCAGACAACACGCTGACGATGACTGATAACTGGATGCCTCCACTCAGCACAGAACCCTCTGGTTTATAACAGATTTATTTTACCGGAGGAGAGCACCAACAGATTATATTTACAGCAATTTCTGGACAACTTCATTCACCATTTTAAAGCTGAGCCTTTCATGTTTCTGTGAGGCGTGTCACAGAGCCATGTCTCCTGGCTCTCTCTGTGTGTGTGTGTGTGTTTACTGCATGCCTGAGGAATGACAGCAGATTTAATCTCATGTGGGAGGATTGTGTAGAATAACTTTGGTTTCTGGTCCTTGACCACATACCTGATGGCTTCCACGGCCATCTAACCGTAGAAGACACATCCCAGGGCTCTGGCTCGGCTGGACGTACAGACTTGGATGTAATATTTCACACGTTTGCAGCTGAGAGTCACGACTAGCAGCTTCTCGGAGCACTAACGTATTCCCCTGAAGGATCATGTTTTAAACTACTCCAGAGATTAAACGAGGGCTGAACTCCTTTTATGTCAGCAGGTGAACCTTCATGTTACACATGAATGGAGAAAAGACAAATCCTGACATTTGAACTGATTTATGGTTCTAGTTCTCAACAGTTTCTACTTCGTCTGCCCCGGTCCTCTCAGTACTCACTTTATATTCCCATTTTGTGGTTCATCTAATTTAAAGAGGTATTTTAAATGCGGCCAGCATAGTTTAGACTTATCGAGGAATTTGAAGTAAACTCACTTATTGACTTTAGCCCGATTCTAATGACCCGAAGAACACTTTCTCATTGTTGTGGTTTCTCGTGGATCTGGGTCACAGTGTGTGTGTGTGTGCGTGCGTGTGTCTGTGCTCTAACAAAGACTGGTTATGCTTGAGTTTCCCTGCAGGGATCAGACTCCAGGACGACCAGCAGAAAGACCAAATGTCACTTCCTGCCTGGCCTCTGCTCTCCCTCACATCAAGCATTTTGTTTGCTTATGAAACTGCAGCTGTAGATCCGAATAGTTTCTGACTCTTTCGTTATTGGTGTGTTTGGCTTCCTGTTTCCCTGTGGCGGCACTGACCCAGTCTGGACAGTTAAACGCTGTTTGAGCTGCACCAAACCGCTCCCTTCTTCTCCGACTTGATGAAACAGAAACTGCTGGTGATGAACGTCCCCTGCTGTGAAGCACGGAGTTGGCAGCATCATTGTCGTGCTTGTTAACCTGATTTAGGCTTTTTGCACATTTGCGTTCAGATAAGAGGCCGATGATGGTTTCTTATAACAGGATTGGTCCGATGAGGAAGTTACGCCGTGTTTGTAAAGCAGAAGTGAAACGCTGCTCTGTGGTTGGTTCCTCTCTTGTGTTTCTGAGAAGGAGAGACTGCAACAGGAAGTGAGGCAGGAGGTAGCAGAAACTCGACAGGAAGTGCAGTGTGGCTTGCTCTGCACAATCTGATCTTCCAGCCTCCCAGGTTCTGCTCAGCAGCCTCAACACTCCTCTGATCTGAGATAAGGGTTATTCTCATGATCTTTGTCCAGTTTGTTATAAATGGACAGATTTGTGTTAAAACTACCAGGATGTTGACCCAAATGTCCCAAACCATCTCCTGTGTGGTCGTCCCACTGTCCTGAGCCATCCCGGTGGTGGTGATGGTCAGATCTGGTCAGGGTGAGATGATGATGATGCTCTATCATCCTAACACTAACCATGGTTTCTGACTGGTGCAAGAAACCCAGATCCCGTATTTATCTCGTGTGTGTGATGGTAGAAACATCAGTAAGGGTGACCTCCATGCTGGGCCCGGTTCTCTGCACAAAGGTGATCGGTATCTAACAAGATTTTTCCAGAGCTGCTTGTCTGTGTAGCAACAGATAAAACTGAGTCTGATGCTTTTGTGAACATTGCAGCTTCAAGTTGTGCTCAGGCAGCACTTCAGATCATGAAAGGAATGAAGCCCCAGGGAACTGTTGATGAAATACTGTCACGCTTTGTCTTTTCTAACTTTACTTACTTCTCCCCAGCCTCCTCTCATCCAGGCGATCTTTAGCGGAGACCCCGAGGAGATCCGTATGCTCATCTACAAGTCTGAAGACATCAATGCTCTGGTGAGGACACAAACTTTTGTTCTTGCAAAGAAACTTTTGACTTCATCAGTCCCTGAAGTAGGCTGCAAACTCAGCCCCTCAGTCTTACTATTTACACATTTAATGGCCACTGATGCTGACTTACATGTTGCTTACTGTATCAAGATTGTTCCCGATTCATCTGATGTCCACATAAACACACAGTTGCACCCGTCAAACCAGCACCCTGTAAACCTTGCTAGAGTCCGTCATTATCGGGGAAGATGTGAACTCATGTGGGAGAACCGTGCTTGAGACAGAAACTGGAGAAAGTTTACACACTTTCTGTCTGGAAAGCTGCAGCATCAATACTCTGTCTTTCTCAGCTGTACGTATAAAATAGTTCAGCCTTTGCTTCCTGTTTCAGGACTGCAGGTCAAGAGTCAGTGGAGCCTCCATCTGGTGTGTTTATTTACATATGTGCTTATGTGTGGCGCGGTATGGGGGCCAAAATTAAGACGACTGCCCAACAGCAGGAGGCTATATAAATTCTGAAGCAAACTACCGACCTGATTAATGATAAGCTGGCGCCGGTAACTGAGAGGCTGGCGCTGCTTACTGAGAAATAGCACCTTTACCGGCATTACTACTAGATACACTAGGGACTAGCAGCCCTCGGCTGGTCATTGACTGGTTCAGATACTCCCTCTGCTGTCTATTAGCATGGATAGGCTGGCATTAGCATCAGAGAGGCTAGCCATTAGCATGCCTAGGCATGCCACTAGCTGGATTTCCTACCCCTTTGACGGACCTTAAGCATAGAAAGGCTGGCATTAGCATCAGAGAGGCTAGCAACTAGCATGTCTCGGAGAGTCACTAGTCAGCTAGTGGCCAGCCTAGGCACGCTAATGGCTAGCCTCTCCAGCCCGTCCAGGCTAACGCTAGCCTATCCATGCTAATAGACAGCAGAGGGAGTGTGTGAACCAGTCAATTACTAGCCGAGGGCTGCTAGTCCCTAGCGTATCTAGTAGTAACGCCGGTAAAGGTGCTATTCCTCAGTAAGCAGCGCCAGCCTCTCAGTTACCGGTGGCAGCTTATCATTAATCAGGTTGGTAGTTTGCTTCAGAATTTATATAGCCTCCTGCTGCTGGACAGTAGTCTGAATTTTATGGCACGGTATGGGGGCCAAAATTAAGACTACTGCCCAGCAGCAGTAGGCTATATAAATTCCGAAGCAAACTACCGACCTGATTAATGATAAGCTGGCGCCAGTAACTAAGAGGTTGGCGCTGCTTACTGAGAAATAGCACCTTTACTGGCGTTACTAATAGATATGCTAGGGACTAGCAGCCCTCGGCTGGTCATTGACTGGTTCACACACTCCCTCTGCTGTCTATTAGCATGGATAGGCTAGCGTTAGCCAGGACGGGCTGGTGTTAGCATTGGAGAGGCTAGCCATAAGCGTGCCTAGGCTGGCCACTAGCTGGATTTCCTACCCCCTTGACAGACCATTAGCATGGATAGGCTGACATTAGCATCGGAGAGGCTAGCCATTAGCGTGCCTAGGCTGGCCACTAGCTGACTAGTGACTCTCCGAGACATGCTAATGGCTAGCCTCTCCTATGCTAATGCCAGCCTATCCATGCTTAAGGTCCGTCAAGGGCATAGGAAATCCAGCTAGTGGCATGCCTAGGCAAGCTAATGGCTAGCCTCTCTGATGCTAACACCAGACTATCCATGCTAATGGTCCATCGAGGAGGTAGGAAATCCGTCTAGTGGCCAGTCTAGGCACGCTAATGGCAAAGCTCTCCAATGCTAACACCAGCCCGTCCAGGCTAACGTTAGCCTATCCATGCTAATAGACAGCAGAGGGAGTGTGTGAACCAGTCAATAACCAGCCGAGGGCTGCTAGTCCCTAGCGTATCTATTAGTAACGCCAGTAAAGGTGCTATTCCTCAGTAAGCAGCGCCAGCCTCTTAGTTACCGGCACCAGCTTATCATTAATCAGATCAGTAGTTTGCTTCGGAATTTATATGGCCTCCTGCTGCTGGGCAGTAGTCTTAATTTTGGCCCCCATACCGCACCATAGGATTTTGGCCCCCATACCGCGCCATACTTACGTGGGAATGGAGACGTCCCTGTTCTCCGCTGGGCTTCTGCGGCAGAGGAACATCTCAACAGCTGACTAACCTTACATTTAGGTCCGGCTCCATCTCTTTGAACCATGAAGGAGTTTCAAATTCTAACCACAAAACCTCACACACCTCCTACCTGTGGGTAGATCACAAATCCTCCTGATGGAGACGGTGTCCATCTCCATCAGTCACCAGGTGACACCATGCACAGGACTCCACCACAGGGACACAGCAAGACATCTAGCTGTCACTCATGCATAGGACAAGTTAGCTTTTCCAACCCAACACTCATGTTTTGGTTTAGGGTGGAAACAACTAGGCTAGACTTAGCTCTGCAGGTCGGTTTAGCCACGGTCCACCTCAGCAGGTCTACCATTGACCCAAACTGTTTTAGGTCTGGCCAATCACAGCGCTCTATGTTTGTTAGGGGGGTTTAATGCTAGAGCTGCCTCGTCTTGTCTTCTTCTGCCTATCCGGGTCCGGGTCGCAGGGGCAGCATCCCAACTAGGGAGTTCCAGACCGTCCTCTCCCCTGTCACCTCCACCAGCTCCTCCAGTAGGACCTCAAGGCGTTCCTGGGCCAGTTCAGAGATGTACTTTCTCCAACGTGTCCTGGGTCGACCAGGGGACCTCCTGCCGGCAGGACATGCCTGGATCACCTCCCTGGGGAGGCGTCCAGGAGACATCCTAACAAGATTCCCAAACCACCTCAACTGACTCTCCTCGTCCTCGATATGGAGGAGCAGCGGCTCTACTCTTGAGTCTCTCCCGAATGTCCGAGCTCCTCACCCTATCCCTAAGGCTGAGCCCGGCCACCCCGCGGAGAAAGCTCAGCGGGGTGTTTTCTCCGCTAGAGCTGCAATGGAGAAAAACAACAAAGATGGTGTCGGCTCAGGAACGGCTTTGGCATCAACTTTGGATGAGTCCGTAGCTCATGGAGGTATCTTTATTTAGCTAAAGGATGCACTTGTGTCTTCTTCTACAGCATATGGTGGACTGCCCTGTTTACTGACTCAATGGCGATGAGTACAACACGATGTTTGTTGCTCTGAATGGTCTAAGTGCCGTGTGCAGACAGTTTGAAAGACACCCATAGATTTCCCCCCACAACTCGGTTGACTCGTGGCTAAGC